GAAAAACTGCAGAGTTGCTAAGTAGAAGTATATTTGATTTATAGATGGATTTGGCTGATGTAAAAATAATTGTAGTAAATTATTCTGAGAATAATCTAAAACTTCAAGAAGGCATACATTTCCCTATTGGTACAGGATTCTTTATTAGTAAAAAATGAAATAATGCAGCCTCTGACAGTTCTTCCTCCCACACTGGAAAATCGGCCCTGCACACAGTGTTAATGACTTGAAAGAATGCAAACTTGGACAGTATTTGGAATGTAACTAGCACTCAAATACAGGTAGATGTGAAACAATCCCAGAGCTCTGATTTGGCCCAACCCTACCTTGGGTTACACAAAAACCATCTACAATGACTGCTGAGAATATTTGAGTTTTAATGTTTAATGGGAATTCTCAACTAAATATTTGAACAATGATAACACTGATTACATAGAAATAGCATAAGATTGATACAGCAGTTCATGCTGAGAAATAGAAACTACCCTGCTTGGATTCCTTGGCTCTGGCCACTTCTTCTACCCTCGTAGCCAGCAATATATCATTTTGCACTTCTTCACTTCTCTCTTCCATTGTCTCTCACTTTTTTACTCTGACACTCCTACTTCTCTCTCATAAGACCCCCTCAGATAATCCAGCGTCATCTTTCCAGCTCAAGGTCCTTAACTCAGTCACATCCACAAAGTCCCTTTTGCTATTTAACAGGTTCAAGAGATTAGAGAATGAGCATATTTGGGGTGAGATTGGAGACCGTTTTTCTTCCAATCAGAGAAACATATTAAACAGATGAGCTCTCGGATGGCAGGTTTCATACCTTCCTCATCTTCACACCGCCAGGACCTAGCACAGTTATTTCCTGGCACCTAAAAGGCACTCAGCAAATGTGTTATCATTGCTTTAAAATGTGTAATAGTTACTTCAGTCAAAAATATTTACTTGGTATTGACTATGTGACAGATACTCTTCAAGGTTCCAAGGTATATGGTGGTGAACAAGATAAAGTGATTTCTCTCGTAGACCTTTCATTCTAGTGTGGAGAGGCAGAGAGTGCACCCCAAAATGTTAGGTGCTGATAAGGGTTAGGAAGAAAAGCCAGAATAAGGAAGATAGACCGTGCCAGGAGACTATGGGAAAGTCCTCTCAAACAAGCGGCCACTTGACTGGAGACCACAAAGAACTAGGGAATCAAGACTTAAGCCTATTTAGAAAAATATTTCAGAAAGAGGAAATGAGAAATGCAAAGATTCTGAGGTGGGAACATGCTTGGATTTTGAGCTTTGTAAGAAATAACAAAGATGCAAATGAGGCTTCACAATGAAAGAGGAGAAGATGGTACTAGATGAGGTCAGATAGGCAGAAGAATGACAGATTGCATGGGGTTTTGTAGTCCACAGTAAAGATTTAGACTAGACTCTCAAGAAGATGGAAATTCATTACAGGGTTGAATAAGGGCTGGTAAAATCTGACTTGTATCTTAGAAGATTACTCTGCTGTGTTGAACACTGACTGTAGGAAGATAAGGATGGGAGGAACAAACCAAGACAAGGCTATTGCGGTAGTTCCAGGGAGAAGTGATGGCACTTGAATTAGAGTGATAGCAGTGGTGGTGATGAGAATCTGTAACATTCTAGATATATTTCTAAGGTGTAACTCACATGATATGGATGCTGTGTGATGGAAAGAGAGTAGTTAAGAATGACTTTAAGGTTTTGTATGGAGAAATTGATGAGTGGAGGCACCATTTACTACACTGGGGAGGATTTCAAAATGAGCAAAATTTCCATTTTGGATATGTTCAGATTGAGATGCTTATCAGATATCAAGCAGAAATGCTGCAGAGGCAGGTGGACATGGGAGGCTGGAGTGCAGGGGAGAGACTGGGACTAGACACATACATTTAGGAATCTCAGCACATAGCTGATATTTAAAACTGTGAAACTGAATGGATTCCTCAGGGGAACTGTTTTGGAAGAGAATTGAGCCCAAGTGCACTCTTCCCTTTGAAGGTCAGAAAAATGAAGAGAAACCAGCAGTGGAGTCTGAAAACATGCAGACAGTGAAGGATGAGGGGAAAGTGATGTCCTGGAAGCCAAATGAAGACATTCTTTCAAAAAAGAGTGATCAGATACGTCAACTGCTGTGAGATCAGTAAGAAGAGGAGCTTGAAATAACCATTTATCCTGTTTTCCTTTATTTAATTTGTATTTATTTTTATTAGTGATAGGGTCTTGCTATGTTGCTTGGGGTGGACTCAGACTCCTGGGCTCAAGCAGTCCTCCCATCTCAGCTTCCTGAGTAGCTGGGACAACAGGCATGTGCCACTGTGCTAGGCTTAATAATAATTTATTGGTCAGGCAGGATAGTTCATGTAATCCCAGGAGTTTGGGAGGCAGAGGTGGAAGATTCACTTGAGTCTGGGAGTTCAAGACCAGTCTCAGCAATGTAGTGAAACCTCTTCTTTACAAAATTAAAACATTATCTGGGCATAGTGGTGAATGCTTGTGGTCCCAGCTACTCTGGAGGCTGAGGCAGGAGGATTGCTTGAACCCAGGAGTTGGAGGCTGTAGTGAGCCATGATGCTGCCACTGTATTCATTCTGGGTGACACAGAACTTCTCTCAACAAAACTAAACAAAATAAATGTATTTTGGTATCAAGGAGGTGATTGTATTTTTATGAAGCGGGAGACAAATGCCTGAGTGCAATCTGTGGGGCTCCAAGTACCTTTATAGTCTACTCATAGTAAATAATCTTTTTTGCACTTCCAAACATTGATGAATAGTCAAAACTTTACACTGTGCACTTTGGGGCTGGCTGGTTATAAACATTGTTTTCTTGAAGTTTAGTTAAGCCTCTAGGTTGGTCTTTTAGAGTTCCTTTATTTGCAAAACTGCAAAAATGTACTAGTTTTAACTTGTCTACATTTCTTACATCTAACTATTTCCATCCGTTAAAAGAATAACAAGTCCATAAAAATAGAGAGATTAATGTAACTAGGAAAATTCCATCTTCTCTGGGAAAGCACAACGCAGGACAGGCAGAATAGTCTGAAAGATACTATAACTTTTTACCTGTTTTCCTTCTGGTGCTGACAGAGATCAAATATTAAATGGTCCAGGTCAGAGATTAGTTATGGGGATTCTTTAGTTAAAAATGAGGCACTTCTGTGCAACTACTCTTGAGATCAATTAATATGCTAGTAGTTAGTGTTGCTTAACTGTTTATTTCCTTCCTTTTAGTAAAATCAATTATTAAAACAAAATTGGCTTGCATGTGATTTCATATATCTAAATTCTGGAATCTATATTTGCTTTCTTTTGCAAAATATATTGGAATAAATGTAAAGCCTATAAAATATTGAAACTCATAGAGCCAAAATCATTCTCAAGTGTTCTGCTAATGTTCATCACAGGTTTCTTAAAATACAATATATAAATGAAAACGATTCCAGACACTTCTTCCACATTATAATCTTGTGCTTCTTGCATTTTCTTTCTCCAGAGTGAAAATTTATAGAGGGCATGGGGTGGACATATAGCAGGGGAAGTGGGTTGCACAAGGAGAGTGTAACAGAAATTTATCAGATTGTATTCATGATCTGAAACTGATCTGAGAACAGAAATAGCCTTTCATGTGCATGACTTGTTCAAGGCAAAGGATGAGTTTTAAAGAAGTTAGAATTTGGCCTTGATGCCTCATACTATTGCTGCCTGCCACTTCTCTGTAGTTGAGGATATTCTGCTTGCAAGGTTTATAGTCATATGGTTACATATTTCATTATCTTCATTATCTTTTGTTTGAAATTAGTTGGTTACATTTTTAATTTTTGTTATGGACTTACATTTGCTTTCTCATTCCCATTTTATTATTTAATATGAATTATTACCAAAGAGGTTATTGAGTATTGCTGTTAGGTGTAAGACAGATGTAAGTTTAAATCCTAGCTTTGACACTTACTGGGAGATGTGTCTCAGTGGCCTGCCTTCTGTGTGCCTCAATTTCTTCAAACATAAAACAGGATGGTGACAATCCTCACATTATGAGATTTTTGTGATGATGATTATATCAAGCTATTATGTAAAAGACTAGTGTAACATATAAGCTCTGATATATTTTAATTGGAAATTGAATAATATATGCCTTGGAAACAAACAATAAATTCAAGAAGTGTCATAAGTATATAATAACAAAGGAAATTCGGGTGAAACATTTTTTGGGTGAGGATATTTCTTAAGAAGGAAGCCTTTTTGATTTGTATTATACAGTGTTTAGTCCAGAAACATTTATCATTACAAAGAACAGCATGAAATCTTAATTAGATTCCCTCTCCAGGAGTTATCAAGGTAAAAGAGATGCAGGGAATTAATAACATTATATTAAAACGAAATGTCCACTCTCTCTGTGAGTTACAATATTCCATTTCAGAAACTAAGAGATCATTTATTTATTAGGATGAATAAATATCATATTGGACTTCTTAAGTGAATAACAATTCTGCTTCCCACTATAGGGATACTGATCTATCTTTCTATCCATCTGCTTGTATGCATTTAAGTATCTATACATTCTATTAGAATTGCAAAATGCAAAGTAAATGCCAACAACATCTCAATATGCAATTAAATTTAGGACATTTTTGCCTTGAATGGCCTCCATATTTAATCTCAATTATTCTTTGAAATTGAGAGAGTAATACATATTATTACACAAATAAATATATGATTTAAGCTAAAATCACTGATGACAAAATGTTAATCCAAAGTGGCAACACAAGGGTGAGTTGGTTGAGCAGATTGTATATAGTTGGGGACTTCCAGATGACTGTCATGCAGGCAGATATGACTAATACTATTGTTGATTATACACTAGAATGTTGTGGCCTTGAAATAATGCTTAATTTTTTTTCAAGCATTTTGTTTAACCTGATATGCCAACAGTAATATATCTCAATATCTTCTGGAAGATGAAGCCTTAAATCATTTAAGAACACAAGCAACAGAATTACTGTTATCAGACTTTGGTTTATTGTAAAATTTAGCAAAGGTTTCCTTTTAATCCCTGACCCATTGCTCTGAAAACAAAAATGAAAACATAATTATTGCTTATTCTCTTCCCCCTACTTTGTTTGTGCCACTCTAAAAGAAGGGAGAAAATCATTGTAATAAATAAAAAATAGAGATGTAACAGAGAAAAATAAATCAGTTCAGATGAGAAGTATTAGGAGCAACAGAAATACCATTAAGCAGTTTCAAAATCAGCTTCTTTTAAAAAGGTCATCTTATTAAAATAAAAATCACACCAAAAATATAGCAGCGGAGAAGAAGGATAAATATAGGTTAATTGCACACCAGTCCCATGCAAAAAACTGTGTCACTAGCCAAAACAGTAGTATTCAGAATCCAACTTGGGACGCTTGTGTAGTGCCTGTGAGTCCTCTATTAGGGAGCCGTCACTGAACTGGTCCAAGTCTGAAGGGGTCTGGTGGCCTGGGACATCATCCGCCAATGTGTCCAGATAACTTCCCACGGAAATGCCATCCAGCCCATCACTGCCATCATGTAGGCTGTTGTAGCTGCCATGTAAGGAGGTGCTCTGACTCTCCAACAAACTGCACAGGCTGCCACTGAGGCTGCTGCCTCTGCTGGTGATGGTGGCTTTCTCCTCGATGATCCACTTGATGGACTCGATGCTCTCATTAATTAGTAGCAACTGGCGCATGAGCCTGACATCTGTGGCTCTGAGGTTAACCTATGGAGAAGGAGAAAAGAAAGACATCCCAATTATTTTATATTCTTGAAATGCCTCAAATTCATTTGGGGACTGTCTGCTGCAGTTCAGAATTTTAAATTCACAGAATAAAATATAAGTGAACTGGATCACAGGAACTTTTGAAAATTGCTGACTGACGGTAGGAGTTGTAGTAAAAAAGCTCACTTCCTGCCAGATGCATCAGGCTCCAAAAGGGACAATAAAACTCCTGCTGCATCACTGACCCTAACCAGTGAACTGAAAATGTAATGGATGGCAGGTTCTCTACTACAAAATTTATTCTCTTTGGCCAGATCAAGCTTATTAATGTTTACACTGGAATATATATGTGAATCCTGAGGGGTGGGAAAAAAAGGAAGGTGAAGAAATTAAGGAGTCATCCTCAGCATCATAGAAGCCTCTAAAAGCCTCTAGTTATAGACTGATAATGTGACAAGCATCCTCATAAAAGTTTAGCATTCATTAGAAAAATCTAATAATACTGTACGACAGGTATTATTATTTGTCTTCATTTTACAGATGAAGAAAGATTAACCTATAGAAACGAGTTAACTGTACAAAAAGGCCTGTATTTATGACTATATCAACATAGACAGTGCTGAAGAATGCTTTTGGTTTTAAGAACTAAATTGCTCTAATATTGCCTGAATCCAAAGGATGCTGTCACACTAGGCTGATCAACATATCATGAATGGCAGATTCTCTACCTCAAAATTTATTCTCTCTTTGGCCAGATTAAGTTTATTAATGTTTACACTGGAATATATATGTGAGTCCTGAGGGGTGGGATGAAAAGGAAGATGAGGAAATTAAAGAGTCATCCTCAGCATCATAGAAGCCTCTAAAAGCCTCTGGTTGTAGAGTGATAATGTGACAAGCATCCTCATTAAAGTTTAGCATTCATTAGCAAAATCTAATAACAGTGTATGACAGGTATTATTATTTTTGTCTTCATTTTACAGATGAAGAATGATAAACCTATAGAAAAAAGTTAAGTGTACAAAAAACGCCTGTATTCTTTATGAATATATCAACATAGACAGTGCTGAAGAATGCTTTCTCTTTTAAGAACCAAAGCTGACACACTAGCCTGATCCAGTGTTTGAGATGAAGTGTACAAATATTTCTGTAGATATGACTATTTGTTTCAGATATATCAGGGGCACCACAATCAAAAGTGGGATATGAGACGTTGGGAAGGTCTGAAAACTCCCCTATGTGCCTTCTTGGTGTGTGGTCCTTCTGATAGCACTAAGTTACTTCAGGGATGTGTCTCCACAGCCACAAAGCAGAGTCTCTTTGCAGGTCCCATGCTAACATTAAGAGGTGATGTCTGGGGAGATCCTGCTGTAAGAACTCCCATGATTGTTCTGTTGGAACAGAAGTGATAAGGCTCCTGAGTCCAGAGCTTGGCAGGGACATGTTTGGCCAGTAGAGGTCCTAGTCACATTCTCTCTCTCTCTCTCTCTCTCTCTCTCTCTCTCTGTCTCTTTTTTTTTGGAGGCAGAGTCTCGCTCTGTCGCCCAGGCTGGAGTGCAGTGGTATGATTTTGGCTCACTGCAATCTCCGCCTCCTGGGTTCAAGTGATTCTCCTGCCTCAGCCTCCAGAGCAGCTGGGATTACAGGTGTGCACCACCGTGCCCAGCTAATTTTTTTTGTATTTTTAGTAGAGATGGGGTTTCACCATACTGGCCAGGCTGGTCCCAAACTCCTAACCTCGTGATCCGCCCGCCTTGGCCTCCCAAAGCGCTGGGATTATAGGCGTGAGTCACTGCACCTGGTCTTCTCTATGGTTTAAAATGGATTTCTGTTCCTCCAGTTGGGTTATTAACCCTAAAGGCTGAGTCATGCTAGTTCTTTCTTTATGATCCAGAGCTAATTCAGATTTATGGCAGTTTCTGGAATCATCAAAGACACTCATTTTTGGATGACTCCAACTGTAAGAAAGAAAAGAGCCAATTATCCTCAAAAGTATTCATTTGTATTGTAAAAATATTTCTCAAAAGTATTCATTTGTATTGTAAAAATATTTCTGGGAGAGGAGTTAATCCATAACTGAAGAGGAACTTTGGATTGAGGGAATGTGATGAGCAAACATTAGGAGAGATGGAATTTCCATTAATAACTCTAAGAGATGCAAGATTGTACAGGGTTTGAAAGAATAAAACTATATGTATAAATGCAAAAAGCATAAAGTACAATTAAAAATCTCTTTATTTTGCTGGAATATTGAAGAGACTTGAGTGACTTCTTCATCTCTGAACAAAGCACTAAAAATAAATTGCACAGAGAGTAACAGAGAAAATGACTTTTCACTGAGATGTTCATGAACAGAAGGGTGTGAACTTAACCTTAAGATGGCTCTTTATTTTTTGTTGGGGTGTCTCAATAACCTTGCAATGACTTTATATTGAGGAAGGAAGCTTTCTGATGGTGTTTAAATTCATCCGCACACCCTATGAGCCAGGAAGACAATGGTCAAGTTACGCATAATACAACAAATATTTACAAATCACCAACAATTTTCCTATGTCCACTGAGCAGCCCAGAAAATCAATATGAGTCAAACTTTTGCAAAATTATTCAGCAGGCATCTGTAGCTGATAAAACAGCTGGCCCCTTTTAAGGCATGGCGCAGTATCAATCTGACCATTTCCCAACAGCTCCCCAAATGAACCACGGCTGCATTTATTCACATCTCCACCCTCTCCTGTGAAAGAGTTCCAGCTCATGCCCACCTCTGGGCATATTCCTCTGTCATTCCCCATTTGAGAAACTTTATTCTCTTCCTCTCCAAATCCTTCCCATTCTTCAAGTCATATTTCTCTCGTCAAGCACTACTTGAGGGCTCCAGCCTCCTCCGCTGGCCGCCTTCACCACTGCAATCCTGTTAGCTTATCTCCCAGCGTAGCTTAACTTTGTACTGTCATATACTGCCAATAATTGTCTTTTAGCATTTTCAACTAAGTTGTGAGCTCCTTAAAGAAAGAAGCGATGTCTTACATTTCTTCCATATCTTGAGGTCTGTCCTAAGCATTGGCTGATTTTTGGAAATAGTCATAATTGGTTGATTTTTGGAAATAACCATAATTTTAAGAACTGTGAAAGTTTAGCTCTTAAGGCAGTAATAATACATGTTCCTAACAACTGTACCACCAGGGGTTAAAACATAGTTAGAATAGATATATTTTGTGTGAGCATCTTTTGTCTGACTTACACAGTGGCTGCATCAAGTTTTTCAGTTTTATTAAGCAATAAAAAGAAAAGAGTAGTGGACTATGAAGTAACAAAAGCTTCCTTTGACCATGAAATGACTTATTGAAATAAGAAAATTTTTTCTTTTTTTTTTTCCCTGAAAGCAAAACATTCACAGGCCATTGAACCACTGTTGGGGAGGGGGGGGAACGACGACAGCAAGTCGGTTAGAACGTGTTGATCTAGTTGATAATGATTATAGATTTAACTGTGTCTAACCCTGTGTCCTCCAAGGAGAGAGTAAACAGCTTCCAACCGTGGGAGCGCTGGGCAAGCCGGTTCACACGTTGGCATGTTCATTACCAGGAGCTCCAGGCACAGAGAGGCCTGGGCCAGCCCAGCTGCTACACTCTGCTTTCTCCAAGCACCAAGGTGTGGTTATGCTACTGATGACCCTTGAAAGTATGAGCAATCCACCCAATAACTAAATCACAATGACTCTTCTGTCTCTAGTAGCTGCCCCGCCTTTCCTCACTGTTATTCATTTCAGTTTTTATGAAGTGTAGCCATCAATTAAGAACAGAGTAGCTCTGCTCTGGCAGCATGAAACTGTGTGGTTTCTTCTGTTGGAGTCTTATAAGGTCCCGAAACTTGACTCTGAGTAATGCTAAGAACTGGGATATCCTAAGGATCTGAGTTTAAATGTCACCTCCTAGGAGAACCTGATTCCTGCCTGATCAATCATGATATGCAATACCCATGCCTACATTAATATGACATTTTCATGTCTGTTTCCTTCATAATATTTATGACCAGTTGAAAGCATACTGTTTATCATGCATTTACTTATTATTTTCTGTTTCCACTGTGAACATGGAAGCACCACAGAGTGCTTAGGTCTTGATCTTTTCTGGTCACCACTCTATGCCAAGACCAAAATAGTATCTCACACAAAGTAGGTGCTAAATTAGTGCCTGTCTGACACCTGAATAACCAACTTTGCTTCAGATTGGATTATCTGTCGGAATCTGGGTTTTGCTGTGGGTCAGTGATATGTGACTCGAAAGGAAAAAAGGTAGCTATAGGAAAGAACATTGCAGCAATGAAGCATTCCCAGAAGATAATCCCTTCTATTCCTTTTCCAAATCCAAACACTGAGTAACTGGTGTGAGGCTATTCCTAGCTTAAATTTACCGAGTATAAGATAATATCTCTTAAAGGAAGTGGACTTCAAGGTGTGAGTCACACTCCAAACATTATTCTGTTTATTGAGAGGTGATAACTGGTACTAGCACAACATGGATGTTCTGTAAACACCTGGTGAAATGAATTGAACGAAGGGAACAAACAAACAGGACACAAACCAAAAAACAAACAAACAAAAATAGAAGGTTTGGACTAATTGGTCCAAAGGTCCAAAGAGACGTGGATGTGCTTTCCTCTTTCCTCTTCACTTCCCCACCTCCCCTCTGGTCCTTACAGTATATGTCACATGGTTCAGCTTCCGGCTTAGTCTCTCAGGCTTCAGGATTGTGATGTCACCGTTCTCTGTATTTTAGGGAGAATACTGAGATTTCATGTCATTTTTTTGACAGGTGATGAACTGGGTCTGTGGTAGAACTAGAAACGAGGAATCTTGAAGAAAAAAATATTTTTAAAAGTAAACTTTCCCAGATATCTTTTTTCTTCTAGACTGCCGTTTTAATGCTGAAAGGATACAAAGGTTATAAATTGGCGCAATGGAATCCAAGAAAGAATGTAGTTGGATTTTTGGTTGCTAATCA